GACCAGTAAACCAGATGGGGTATGTTTTATAACAAGGTTTCTTCTTTGGTACATGTTGATCAAGAACAATATATAATTGATTATAAAATAGGTTCAATGCTTTATCAACGTTTTAAATATTACGTAGAAATGTCCAGTCGATCAATAATAAGTCTCTATAAAGGGCAACAAAGTTAGCTTTTTTAAAGTTGTAAGCAAATGCATTAAATACTGGAGTTTTAATAGTATAGTTTTTATAGTTTATTTCGAATGCCAACGCGAGATGATATCTGTCTGCTGGATATACCAAAACATTATTGGTCTTTTGGACTGAGCATGAAGCAGTTGAGAAAATTAAATCTAAAAATCGCATGTCACAGTTAGTAATGTTATTGTATTGTGTAAGCTCGAAAATATTACAAAGATTATTTAACGATTGCATTCTGGTAGAAACATCTGTATTTTTTTTGTTTTTCGGTAAAATCCATCCTGGACACGCTCTTTGCGCGAATTGGACTTAAACCAACTAAAAAACCACCTCCTCTGAAAGAGCTGAACAGGAACCGCCATGGTGGCATATTTTCTGGGCAGCTCTGGTCTTTGCATTTACTCGTTCTTACTGCCTACCTTCCTCTGCTTTTGTCTTCAGTATCGTTTTTATGTACTGGAGTACTATCTGCCATTTACCCCTCGTTTGCAACATTTCTTTCAAGAAATTGTCTGCTCCTAGTATTACCCCTAGCTGGATGTGTGTCCGTTGACTTTGTAGCGACCATCTAGGGCATTCGAACAAAGTGTGTGGTACTGGGTCTGAGGCTCCGCAGTATACGCAGTCTTCTGTATCTGCTTTTTTAAACCTGTGCAGGTATTTTTTAAACACTCCATGGCCTGTGAGTATCTGAGTAGAAGTCTGTGTACCGGTACTTGCAGTTTAACCACTTCTGCAGGTCTGGTATTAGTGCCTTCGTTCTCTGCGTGACCCCTTCTGTCTGCTCCCATTCGTTCTGCCACATCTCGAGGGTGCGTTGCCTCTCTTCCTTTTTGGCTCTGTCATCAGTTTCTCTCCTAAGGTGTAAACAGAATATTTCCCTTACCATCAGGTGTATAGGAATAACCCCAGCCACGACATTTAAGGCGACTGTTGATGCAGTTCTGTAGGCGCTGCAGGTTCGCAGTAGGCAGAAGTATCTGTATTGACTCAATGGAGTCAAATAAAACTTCATATTCTGGAACCGATGTATGAGGCGCCATATAAATAATAATTATGTAAGAGATTTAAAGAAAAATATATGCTCTGCAAATTAAAATATATTATCAATATGTTTAATTCCAGAGAATAAGATACAGTCGAAATATATATCGATCATTGATAAAGTTATGCATTTGTTGGTAGCCAGTAAGACCCCTCCACCTTTACTAGTGTTCAGGAAATTAGGATCTCGATCTTTGCGACATACATTATATTAATCTAAATTAAAAATTTCGGGTCAACAAACGAAATGTTTAACCAGGTTTCGGTTAGTATTTTAGCATCATATTGTGACGTAATGGATCTGTAGTTAATATAGAAATCTGAACTTTTTTCTCGTAAGCTTCAACAATTTTGGTAATAAATACTGAGTGACTTTTACAAGTTCTCAATGGCATATTAATAATATTGACTGTACGTTTTGCGCGCGAAACGTATCTTTGTTGCTATTTTATATTTAAGATTGAGGACCTAAAGGAATTCAGGGTACTGACGTAAATCGAATAATTTCTATCCCAGACAGCATGATCAACATTGACTTTGTTGATTCCCTCCTGCTTATTATAGTTAACACAATTAGAACAGGTAAACTTTTGCTCATTACAGTTCTGTATTTTGTGACTTAGAGAGTACTTCGGACATGTGTAGCAGGTAGCAGAACAATTTTTAGAGAAGTGGTGGAAGTTGCAACATTTGTAACAACGCCGTAAATCAATAGCATCAAAGACACTACAAGAATCATAAGCAACACAAACATGATTAAAGTTGAAGGTGGTAGCCATGTGTGAGTTATAAGTTCAAAAAGGTAAATCAAACGAGGGTGGTCCTTAGGATCTCACAAGTACCTCTATCCATTGAAAACTACAATAGAGAACTTAACACAATAAAAAACATAGCTCATCTACACAATTATGATCACAGTTTAATCGATAAAATGTTGAGTAAAAAACAAAATAGAATTATTCAAAATACAACATTTATAACTAACCCTATACCTGTAGAGGCTATCATTAGTAAGTATATGTCACTTACCTATATTGGAAATATTTCTTATAAAGTCTCCAATATCCTCAAAAATCACTTCAAAATTTCTTTTAAATCCTCCAACTCAATTAGTAACTTTTTCATCAAGAATAAAGATAAAGTGGACATCATGGATCAACCAGGCATATATGAACTCAGTTGTAAGTCTTGCCCAGCCAAATATGTAGGTAGAACCTTTCGTAACTTTAGGACTAGACTTAAAGAACATTTAAGATGTTTGAATACTGCCACAATCGGCTTCTCACATTTTGCCACCCATCTAGTAGAGTCCAATCACGATTTTGACTCAGGGGATGGCTTTAGGGTACTCCACATTTGCCACAACAAGTTGATATTGAATAATTTGGAGAACCTAGAAATATTTAGATTAAGAAAAAGTAACAATGCATTATCACTAAACTCACAAGTTTTTTCCGAATCCACACCCACGTTCTCAGGTCTTTTTTAAAAATCTACGTTTCCCTTAAATTACCCCCCCCCCCTTTTACTTTAAAATTTCCCTATGAAATTCTATTAGTTATACTTATCTTATTCCTTATTTTTATTCTGTCTCCTTTTCCATTTTCATTTTTCAGCACATTACTTCAAAAAATAATTAACCAAATCAATAGTTTTTTCTCTCTTTTCATTTTAACACCATTTCCTTTTCCGTTGATTGTTACCAACTTCTTAATTTGAATATTCGTACATCTAAAATTATTTTCCAACGCTAATGCTAGACTCTACTTTTAACAATAATAATTTATTTATTTCATTTTGTTCATTACGTACAAATTCAAACAATTCATTTTATAAACCTATATTATTATTAAGAAACATTTATTTTTTTCGCCAACGCCATCTATTAGCCGATGGTCAAAATATTTAAATTTGACAACCTCTAAACTGTTATCTTAAATATTAGAATGGTTAATTCGTCTATTTATATCTTGAGGGCGTTAATCAGTATATTTAATCTAAATAAAATTTAATTCCTGTAGAATTATAAACACTTGTCCAAGAACCCATTTTAGTGCTTGTAGGGTTTAAAAAGTTTTTAAATTTGTTTGTCTTAATTGTTCGTCCGTTCGTGAAATATTTTAATAATTTTAATTAATAGTTTTAGACCTACTTTTGTTTATGTGTTTTGACATCAACTTTTTGTTGCAACTATTGTTTTTTATATTTTTTATGTATTTTAAAAAATACTCGCATACTTGTTTTTACACCGACCCTGGGATAATTCTCTTAGCTTAGTCTTAAATAGACGAGTAATTACGGGTGAGTTCTTGATATTTGACAACTTTCATATTAAAATGTTTAAACCCACTTTATTAGTTATGAGCTCATTCGTTTTTCCTCTCTATTTTTAGACCTTACCTGATGATGAGGATCTGATCCTCGAAACCGGTCGTAATAAAATACTCTTGTGAGATCCTAAGGACCACCCTCGTTTGATTTACCTTTTTGGACAAACATGATTAACTTTAATGAATCTTTCATAAGTATCTACGAGCCCTAACACAAAAATGTTCGGACATCAACTGATTTTGCTAAAAAGTTTGAACATTTTCTTAAGGGATGCAATATCCATATGTTTTTCATTCATAAGACATAATATGTATTGTGTACATCATATTTATGAAATTGTTTTCAAATAAACTAATATTGATTAATAAAACTAAACTAATGTTGATAAAAATGCTATATTTGCTGACACATAAATGTTCGGACATGTTAGTAAAACAAATAATAGCAAGCCATGGAAAGAAAAAAAGTTTTTCTATTTTGACATTTTAACTTGAGAATTAATTCGATTATCAACTGGCTCCAAAATGTGGCGTGGTAAAGCAAGAAATGGTGCAATTAGAGAATTAATAGTAAACCTGTTTAACCAAGGAAAAACCTTTCGGGATATTTCTAAACAAATAAATGTCGCAAAGTCCACGGTGTCAGATATTGTGAAAAAATAGGGAGAAACGGGTTCAACTTAAATTTCAAGACATGGTGCTGGTCGGCCACGCAAAGTTACTTCCCGAATGCAAAGATCTCTTGTTCGGATTTGTAAAACTGATCACCGTATAGGTACGTTTCCTATGGAGCGGGTGACGCGCGCGGCTGCCGCACAGCGTCTGACGTCTAGTACTGTTCCTATGACAATATATTTTACCGTTTCTTTTCGAGCGTCAGACGCAAGCGTCAAACGCTTTGGACCGCGGCCAGAGCGGACGTGTATTACTTTATCGACAAAGTGAGGTTAAATACATTTAGTAAAGCAGAGCCCTAGCGCTCCGGTAACGCGAAAAAGTTCGGCACGCATGCGCGAGTATTTAGTAGTGTATAAACGCAACGGCAGGTGTGGGCCCCAAACCTGCGCGGCGACGTATAAACGCTGTTATATCGCGCGCAGTGACGCAAACAGTTCCCGGCAGTGACCCTGTGCGCACGCATACTAAAAGTGAGTATTTGCTATTGAACTAATTATTAGTCAAACAAAATTGACACTTTAAAAATAACAAAATTGCCACCAAACAATATTCGAACAAATAAAACCAGTGCAGTGATCGTTGTGACATCCGCTGCCCTTCCTCGGGGCTCCGCAGCGGGTGCGGCGAAAACACCGCAATAGTTTATAAGGCTGATTCTTGCTCGCAGGAATCAGCCTTTTTTATAACCTTGGATCATTCCACTAACTTTTTTTACTTATTTTTCTTACTTATATACCGGACCTTTCTACATACTTTTTAAAATGTCGGAAACAAACGGGACCGCGAATTCAGACGCAACCGGAACAAATCTTGACGGCTCTTTCAAACCCCAGAAAAACCTGCCCAAATCACCCACAGGTTCGGATACTAGCTACGTAAAAAACAAGAGAGGAGATAGGGAATCCACCGACATGGAATTCGAGGAATCAGAACACGAAGACAGGCCTAAACATAAAAGGGTTAAACACCACCGAGGCGAAGAAGTGAGTGAAATTATACGAACCATCCAAATCGCCTCCAAAAGCATTGAGACCGCTACTAGTAGAGTAACGGCTGACAGAAAACTGGCCTTCTCACGACCCGAACAGACGCAGGTTCAAACAAACATGTCCGAAATCAATAGCAGCATCCAGAAATTGCTGGGACTCTTGTACATACAAGAGAAGAAGATAAATGAGCTTTATACGGAGCTCCAAGGAAAAAATAGGCAACCTGAACACCACACAGAAGTAGAAAACTAATCAATAAATTAACACAGGACATCAACGAAAAACTGGAGGTAATAAAAACTCAAAAACCAAAAGACAAAGTAAGCGCCCCATTAACACCGGAACCCACCCAGACAACAGAAAGGTCGTATGCCCAACTGGCCACCGTGCCACAAACAGACAGAAAACCACCAGCCGAATGGAAATCACCGGTGGCAACCAAACCGGTCAGCTATGACACGGTCATAAAAATAAAGGAAGGTGATAATGGGGACCCAATAACGGAACTAAAAAAAGTGCTCACCTCCAAAGATGTAGAAAAATTCCAGATCAGACGTACACAAACGGCAGTCGTGATAAACACTAAAACAAGGGAGGAGCAAAAACACCTACTTAAAAAACTGGAAAATGTCGAGAAAATCACTGCAAAAGATGGGACACGAACCCAATCACCAATGATTTTAATTACGGGTGTACAAAAAGGAAAGTCCGAAGAAGAATTACTGAGCAACATAAAACAAGAAAACGAAGACTTAGACGAACTCTTCGGACAAAGAATGGAATCAGAACTAAAGCGACTAGGAGCAAGAAATTGCAAAAATGTTTTCAAAGAAAATATTATTGTATCGGAACCATCAGACATCATTAAACATATATTGAAAAAAGGCTTCATCTACATGGACCTAATGAAGTACTACGTCGAGGAGCACATATCGGTGTCGATGTGCTTCAAATGCTGTAGGTTCGGGCACTCGGCTAAATTGTGTAACTACGCCATCGACGTGTGCTACAAGTGCGCGCAAAGACATAGCGGCGCGACATGCCAATCCGGCAAAGTGGAGTGTATAAATTGCGGGCGGTTAAACCTCAATCCGCGTAACCATGAGGCACGGGATTCGAATTGTCCATTGTACAGGCGCAAAATGGAGGAAGCCCGACGATCTATAGCTTACTAAAGAACTTAGTAAGTGGAAGGTTCTTCAGATCAATTTAGGGAAAGGTAAGAGAGCAACTGATCAACTAATACAACATGCTACAAAACAGGATATGGACATAATATTTATTCAAGAACCTTACCCAAACATGACATCCCCAACAACATACAACATGACAAGACCACACAAAGACGCAAAAGTGGTAACCCTAATAAAAAGTAACATACAACAAACACTAGTATACACACAAATGATGGACAAAAACACATTAACAATTAACATACAGACAAACAAAAAGACATACACATTAATAAACATCTACGACGAACCCGGAGGAACAGAAAACAAAAGACTTAACAAACACAAGACAAAAATACAACAAATCAAAAACCCACTGATAATCGCGAGGGACCTAAACGCCAAAAACTCGACATGGGGAGGCAACGAAACAGACAGACGCGGACAAGAAACAATGGACTGGACAGCACAACACGGACTGAAAATTGAGAACGACTACGACAGCCCATCGACCTTCAGAAACGACAGAGGTAAGAGCTGGGTAGACATGATAATAACACAGGACATTATTATACAAAACTGGCGCAAGTATCAAATGACGAAACACTTAGTGACCATGCATACATAACATATGAAATACAAACGGAAAACAAAACAAAGAAAAACGACCAGAAGAGAAAACTTTACGACTACAATACAATGAACATTACCAAAATACAAACAGAAACAGAAAACACAGACTGGACAATGACAGAATCAATAGACGAAACAGTAGAAAAAATAACAAACAACATAATTAAAATAATGGAGAAATCAATCAAAACCAAAAAAGACAGAAAACGGAAAACACAGATATGGTGGACAAGACAATTAGACGACGAACGGAGAAAAACTAACAGCTTCAAAAAAACATTTCAAACAGAGACCAACGTAGACGAAAGAGAACGCAAACTCGACAGATACAAAAGACAAAGACGAATTTACAAAAATCTAATCAAATCAACAAAAATCCAGTCTATACGCGACTTTACAACAAACAATGACCCCGACAATCCATGGGACATCGCCTACAAAATCATTCGAATGAAAAAAACACAAGACAAAACCCTAAAGACAATACAAAGAGAAGACGGGACATGGACAACAAACACAGAAGAAACAATACAACACCTCCACGACAAATACTTCCCGACCGACAACATCAACCCAAACGACCTACAAATACCAAACACACAAAATGACAATACATGAAATAGACATGACTATGGCAGCCATGAAAAACAAAAAAGCCCCTGCCCGAGATAATATCCCAAAAGAAGTCCTGTCTATCATAAATACCCTAATACCCAACACGTTTTGCGATCTATATAACAAATGCCTTAACACGGGATATTTCCCAAAATCATGGAAAATGGCTGACATGGTCTGGCTACCAAAAAAATAACCAAACGACAAACAACCGATATGTCTACTACCGACAATGGGTAAGGTTCTAGACAAAATGACAGCTAAACGACTCGCGCACCACCTCGAAACGACAAACAAAATTGACAACCGACAATACGGATTTAGAGAAGGTAGAACGACGACAGACGCAATACATAACTTACTAGACAAAATAAAAAACAACAAAAAGACCAAAAGACACTCCTTAGTAGCGACACTGGACATAAGCAACGCGTTCAACTCAGCCTGGACACCAACGATTAACAAACAACTCATAGACACTCACACACCGGCCAACATCACAAACCTTTGCACTGACTTTCTACAAAACCGACAAATACAGACACAAGACATCACGAAAGACGTAAACAGAGGCTGCCCACAAGGGTCGAGCCTCAGGCCTATACTTTGGACACTACTCATGGATACTTGGTTCAAAACTATGGACTCGACAAACGCACTGGACGAACACGACTTGGTCCAGGCCTTCGTAGATGATCAAATAGTGATCCTACCTGGCACTTCATTAAAACAAATAGAACAAAAGTGGGACCGCGTTTTGGAAGCCTGCGAGGCTTGGACCAGACAAAACAAACTTACATACAACGACAACAAGACAAAATTAATATTCATACCGCACAAACAGACAAGACAAACCCAGAATAAAAATAGGCGGTACGACTAAGGCCGATAGTCTGGTCTATCTAGGAGTGACCCTAGATGTCGGATTGCTTTGGATCGAGCATGTCAGAAAAACCAGACAGAAAGCCCTGGACGTATCAAACAAACTATTTCAAATAGCGGGCCGGAATCGGGGCAGAAAGCCCGAAATACTAAGACATATATTCACAAACGCTATTAAGCCCATGATACGGTACGGGGCCAATATCTGGGGACACCGACATGCGGACTCCCGGGTAGTACATCTACAGGCGTCAGAGAGGCCTTTCCTATTGGCCATCACAAAAGCGTACCGAACCGCGCCCACCCTTTCCCTGCACGTCCTGGCGGGAGTAACACCCCTACAGGTCGACGCTAGGATAGGATGGGAGACATACAACACCACCAGAAAGGCACTAGAAACCTACAGAACTAAAACATCAGACAAAGTACACCCGATAATTAGGAACATACTGACAAACATAACGGACACACAACCAAAATACACGGTATGCACGGACGATTCACAGAAACAAGAAACAAACCACATAGGACTTACGTTATGGAACGGACACACGAAAATTGGATCACGAAGACACAAAATAAACACGACATGCGACATTAACAACCTTAAGTTATACGGAACATACCTAGCCCTCGAATACCTAACACAACACCTCGACCCCCTTCAGGAAACAGACATCGACGCTGAAATACACAATGACTCAAAAAACACAATACAAAGCATACATAATCACAAAACTATTAACAAAATCATATTAAAACTACAACAAATGGCCGAAACACTTACACACAGACACATCAGACTACAATTTAGATGGAAAAACAGAACGGACACTAAAATGAAAGAGACACACAAAACAGCACAAGACGAAAACACAGAAACGACTGAAAAACAGGTACTGGCAAGAAATTTGGGACCAAGGAACGACAGGAAGACCGACATACAACATAATACAGACAGTACACACAAACAACATTGGATTCAACTGGAAAACCACACAATTACTGACAGGACATGGAAACATTAAAACCTACTACCGACGATTTAACCTACGACCAGACATGGACCTGCAATGTGAATCCTGCGACACGGACGAAACACTAGATCACATAATAAACAACTGCCAGGACCCACAACGACAAACAGCAAGACAAACACTGACAACCAGGCTGAGGACAATAGGACAAGACTACCCACCGACGGACATAGACACAACGAACAAACAGTTAATCAGTTGGCTCAACGAATGGGGGGAAAGTCTTATAAAAGACGACATTCACGATCAATTCAACTAAACTAGACCCTTCCAATAGAGAACCAGGCTCCCCTCAAGCACCGAAAACTGTAAATATTGTACATAATCATAATATAAAACCTATACAGGTATGTAAATATAACAAAACTTAATCTTTACTTTTCTTTTCAACCACTTAAATTTATTTTTGAGCATGTACTGCAACGTCTCATTTACATTTAATTTTGCTTATTTATACAATTATTGTTTAATTTTAACTTTACTTTATTTACTTTACTCTATTATAATATTTATTTTCCAGCATGCACTGCAACATTCTGTTTACTTACACGATTTACTGATTTATTGTTTAATTTTAACCTTATCTACTTTATTTATTTCTGCTCACTAACCAAACTGCTCAAGCTATTACCTCTTACCGTAGCTTTATATAACCATGTTCACTAACACAACCTATCGCTTAAGCTTACTGTTACCAATATTATGTTTGGCTTGTAATAATGTAAAATTAACACTGTGTAAAAATTTTTGGGGGGAATAAAAGTGCAACGGTCTTCCTTTCCCCGCTCATTTTTGGAGTGTGGAAGATGGGATGGGTTCCCTTGACGGTGGTCTCGCTAAGATGTTGATAAGCAAACAGGCCCTATGCCGAAAGGTAGGTGGGTATGCTGCGGGAGATGTGTGTAAAAGCACCTCTCTCGCCGCAAATCAGGCTTCGTGTACCGTTCCCGTACGATGTCGAAACTTTTATTTACAGCGGAAAAAGCTGAAATATTGGTGGAATGGGTTGAAAAATACCCTTGTCCTTATGATTTAAAACTATTAACATATAAGGATCAGAGAAAAAAAGTTTCAGCTTGGAAGGAGATTGCAGAAGTTGATTTTATGATATAATTTTATTTATATTTATATATGATTTATTATCCAGTTCTTGTGATTTGTTCTTGTTGCCATGAAATCCTCCAAGAATGGCTATTAAAATAATCCATGAAGATATCTCTTACACCAAATCCGTCCATGTTTGCAAATCTTACAGCTCTGGAGTCATATTTCCTACGGGTAATGGCTGTGTTCGATCATATTCGTAGTGTGGATTATTTTGAGATTCCAAGTATCCATCTCTAAGTAAATTATGAAAAAAGGCCACAAGTATCAAATTATCGGTTGTTTCTTCTTATAATGAGATGGGTGTATAAAAAATTCTAAAAATTTGAGACAATAAGCCAAACGTGTTCTCCGAAACTCTTCGTGCTCTTAAAAGGCGATAGTTGAAAATTGCTTTCCGATTATCGGCCCTTGCAACTGGCCGAGAAGATGGTTTCATCATATGGATATGTAAGCAAAATGCTTTGTCCCCCACCAAGATATAGGGCGCAATTTTGTCCGAATTTGGAAGTTTCGAGGAAGGAGGACACATATTTCCGCTATTAAATAGCCTACCCATATTACTTTTGTCAAAAATTCCACTGTCCCCTTCTTTTCCATAAGAACCAACATCGATAAAAATAAACTTATAATTAGCATCAACAATTGCAGGTAAAACTGCAGAAAAATATGATTTATAATTAAAATATTGTGAACCAGTATTACCAGGGCAAAATATACGAATATGCTTCCTGTCAAAAGCCCCAATACAGTTGGGAAAATCTATTTTTGTTCAAATTCCTCTACTTTTTTGCGCAGCTCTTCACTTGATAGAGAAGGTTAAAATATGGGCATAAGCTTTTCACTTAATAGTGCAAGGACTTATTTTACAATTCTACTTATATAGCTGTACGAAATTCGGAAACCAAACTGCAGGGAACGAAATGTTTCGCCAGTAGCATAAACCTAAAAAAGAAATATACCTATTAATTACATATAGGAAGAATTTTAATTTGTAAATACTTTATTTTTAGAAGCAGACTGTCGTAATAGATGAAAGAATATCAAAGACACGTATAAAAAAAGAAAAATAAAGGTACAGGGACTGGTTCTTCAGCTGATGTAAAGCAGAAATTTTTTCTAGCAAGCATATTAAACTTTTTGGAGAAGACTGAATATAAACGACCGTGAGTTAAAAAAAAAAATCCAACTAACCAACTACACGCACCTGTATAAGGTACCTATTAATTTTAACTGGTTTTAGGAGCAAATCTAACATAGTAGAACAAGACTGTGCTAGTACACCTGCAGACGACACAGATGATAGTGACATAGAAGCAACTGAAACAAGTATTGTGTCATGTGAATCCGACTCTGCTGCAGCTTCAAGCTCAAATCGTGAATCCAATTCTGCTGCACCATCAAGCTCATAACATGAATCCAGCTCTGCTCCAGCATCAACTTCAAATTATCGGTTAAAAGAAAAACCCTCGGAAAAACTAATTAACAAGCGAAAAAAAACAAAACAATTGTCTGAAATGATGGAAGACAGACGGAACTGACGATGACAACGATGATGTTAGCCTATTTTTTAAAAGCATTGCAGCAACAGTTAAAAAACTTCCATCTGAGTTAATTAACGAAGCAAAAATGAAAACATTGCAACTCGTTTTTGAATTGGAAAGTCGTGCTAAAAATACGACTACCGTGCCTTTTTTATCTCCAGGAACTGATTCAGCATCTTCAAATGTTTCCCTTGTTTATTCACCCCCTCCTTAAGTCATTCTTGCAGTGAGTAATAACGCTTGTAGACCCTATAAAGATGTTGTTACTTATACTTCGGAAAATAATACAAATTTTCTTTTCACAAGTAATATGCTTACTGGTTTTCATAACACATAAATAAAGTTCTCTAACAGCTAACGTAATGTATATACATTATTATTATTATTATTATTATTATTATTATTATTATTATTATTATTATTATTATTATTAAAGATATTGAAATTAAAACTGTATAGATTATTTCAACTTACCTTAGTGTCACTGCCAATTTCTCTTCAGGCGTGATATGCTATGGATATCTATTCGATGACTGTTTGGCTAGATCTTCTTTTATCAAGTCCAGTATATAATTGAATTAAGCAATATTTAATCTAAAAAATTGTCTAAATTTCTCTTCATCTTCCAATAAATACCTATTTATTAGAGTTTGAAAAAAGCATTCGTCAATTCTGGTTTTAAATAATGGATGAACCTGTTTATTTTCTTTGCACATGCTTACCAGTAAAATTGCTTCATCTTCAATTTCTTCTAATAGCAAATCTAATAAGAGCAATTTTCTGTTTTCACACATTTTTAGAAAATGGTACTTTTTTGACAACATCATTCGCGTCTACATTTCATAGGAAATGGGTATACTGGCGTCAGCCGTTTGCGTCAGACGCTGTGCGGCAGCCGCGCGCATCAGCCGCTCCATAGGAAACGTACCTTAAGGGAAATAACAGCAAAATGGCATGAAGAAATAATTGGATATGTTTCACGAGAAACGTGACGTCGCTGGATCCATAAGTCTGGTTTACATTTTAATAAGGTACGTAGGTTACGTTTAAGGACAATCTCATATTTATGCAGTGAAATCATTGGTTTAGGAAAAAGAGAAGCTGTTGCTGACGGAAAAACAAAAGTAAAGACGATTAGCGTGGACAAAGGAACGGGCAATGTGGACTTTTGAAGACTGGAAAAGAATCATTTTTAGCGATGAATCAAAATTTGTTGTTTGCGTGGGTAACCATCGATCACGTCTTATAAGAAACGAAAATAAAGGCTTTCACAAAGACTGCCTAAAGAGAAAAATGAAATGTCCATCAGGTGTTATGATATGGGGAAGCATGTTTGGTTTCAGTGTTGGAAAACTGCACTTTATAGATGGAATTGTAAACGCAGAAAAATATCAGAACATTCTTGAAACCAATTCCAATTTTATCACCTGATGGAAACTTTATTTTTCAACAAGATGGCGTCTCCTGCCATACAGCCAAGTCTACAAGAAAGTGGCTGCAGGACAACAATATGTCCGTACTTGCCTGGCCCTCCAGCAGCCCTGATCTAAATATAATCGAAACTGTATGGCACAAGAAGCAGCAATTAAGAAATGATCCACAGCGCAACTCTTCTGATTTGTGGGTAAAATTGCAAAATATATGGGATATATGGGACCGCGGAAGATTACGAAAAGCTTGTTAAAACTATGCCTGATAGAATAAAAGCTGTTATTAAGGCAAAGGGAGATGCAACCAGCCATTGATGTGATTTGTCCGAACATTTATGTGTCAATAAATATGCATTATTATCAACATTAGCTTAGTTTTATTGATCAATATCAGTTTATTTGAAAACAATATCATAAATATGATGTAAAACAATACATGTTATGTCTTATAAATGAAAACCATGACATTGAATCCATTAAGGAAATTTTCAAACTTTTACGAAAAATTGTCCAAACATTTTTGTGTTAAGGCTCGTATATCAACCTGACCTACAGCTTGAAAAACTTTATTATTATTTCTCAGAGATTGTATTGAAATTAAATTGCATTTGCTGTCCATGGATACTACGGATTTATTTTGAACTTTAAAGTAATTTAGAAAAACATCAATATCAAACTTTTCAGACAATCCAACAATTCTAACTCTAGTGTTTAAAGCAGTAACCTCCTTCACAGAGTACATATTATCTAATTTTGTATTGACTAATTGCTTAAAGTTTTCGTTTTCACAACGTATAGCAATTCCACCTTTACTTAAATTTCTAACTTGTGTAACTTTTAAATCATCTTTAATTGGATTTATTTTATTAAGGATCTCCGACTTTGTGCTGTTCGAATCCTGGTCAGAGTTTGGTATTACGATTGAGGTTGACCCAGTAGCAATATTAGCATAAGATCTTTTACTTCGAGTTGGGATATCGTTTTTAGTAATGTTTTCAAACATATTTGTAACATATATTTGTAACATATATTTTAATATTATCGGTGTTTTTATCTGAGGTAGATTTAAAGGTATTTTGGACAGCATTGTGGAGTTCTTTCACCTTTTCATCAACCAGGATTTGCAGATCATTCTTAAAAATTGTAAACATATCATTAAATTTGGAAAAAATTCATCTACTTCCTTTTGAACTAAATTTAAAAGATTATCATTCGAGAGATTATCATGCAGGGTTTTTACGTTATCATCACCTATGTTAATATTCTCTTTTACTTTTTCTATATTAACTTTCTCTTGAAATTCACATTTTCTGTAACAACCATCGCAAATATATACCAGGTTTTTTAACTTGTTTATAACCTTAGACTCGTATTCAGTTAATTTGAGGCAAGAATAATGGAACCAGTTATCACACGGACCTTCACATTCAACAAGATTTACATTATACTTTTTCTTGCGGCATTGAGCACACTTAGACACTACAGAACGATTGATATTAAACAAATCATAAAGTAGGTATGCAGTTTGCCCACGTCTATAGTAAAAACTAGTATTTGGAAAATTAGATTGAAGGGCCTGATAGCAGTTAAACTTGAGTTAAATTTGATGAAGGCACGTACCTTCAATATCACCAATAGTTGCAATTAGTATGTACGGTTAGTAACACATTTAAAATATCACTGGTGCACTTGTACAAAGTTCAATAACTAATGAAATAACGTTTGTAAACACTGAGCTCATTAACATAAGTGTGAATTGGTGTCATGCCAACTGTATATATAGACACATCTTAATATAAAAAAGTCGGCATTTTATTTTTCATTTCTTTTCGAGTCGAATCTTATCGTATTAAGAGTAAAAATAAAATTGTAAATTTTAATAAAGTAATTCAAACCAATTATAAACTCATCATAAGTGTTCAGGTTACATAAAAAAATGTTATATTATTGTTTTGGAGTGAGCGCATTTTCAATTTCCCCAAGTATTTTTAGGGAAAAGGAAATAAAATTATACAGGGATAGTACTGAAAGAATTTAAATATCGTTTATATCAAATATGTAGACATAATATTTCAAAATCTAGAGAGAAAGAATTCAATATTTTTAAAAATTTCTAGCCCAAAAGTACAAAATAAATTGTATTGTAATAAATTGTCATTCTGTATAAATATTCATTATTTGAATTTAATTCAATAAATCAATATTATAAATCTGATAAAGTAGACTACTTCATACTTTGGCATTTAATAAAAAAAAAACAAAATCTACAGAATCTAAAGTATCCCGAGATGTTTCTAAATTAAAAAGAACAAGGAATAATGAGGAGAACGTTGAAAAAAGTAAGAAAAATAATCTGATTTTAATAAAGGATTTTGTTCGTCCATTGTAATGCTCTTAATTTACTTTAATTCATTAAAAATGTGCACGCTGTATTTAATTCTATAGTTCAGTTAAATTACTAAGATTATAGGTACAACAATATACTGGGTGTTTCAGAAAGGTATACCATAAATTCATCCTCAGATTACCAAAAAATAAGTGAATTTGGCTATATTTACCTATATCAAAAACTGGCTTCCAACAAAGTTACAGGATTTTTTCTTCGAAATGTTTGTCAGTGCTGTAGATTGGAAGGCCCAATATTCTAAGGGGAAAAAAATTTAAAGTAACCCCTTTAAAAAAAGTTGGGGGGTTGGGTACCTTTTAACCCCCCGTATTTTTTTGACATAAAGAAACTTACTTTATCGATCTTAAAATCAAAAAGACTATGAATTTTTAAATTTTTTTTTATATCGAAAGGAACTTTGTATCTTTCTTAATTTTTACAATTTTTTAACTGAATTTCTAGAGCAACTCGTCTGTCCTGGACTTAACATATCAACAAAACTAAGAGTAGGTCAGGAGTTATTTTACAAAAAACGCATATAAAAATCAGTGGTGTGCCTAGGGCTGTGCTTGAGCCGCCCATGCAAAAACTACCTTTTTTATTTATATTTTTGCATTCAGGAAGGATGACGACATGTTGAATATTTACTAAATTAAATAGTTTATAAAATATGTATAATAATTATTACCAAATGTTTATTTTTAATTGTTAATTTTTGTTTATTGTTTAATTAAAAAAACAATTTTTTATTTACTATTAAGTTTAATAAATACATTTCCCAACTAATTTGTATTTTTATCAGTGGCATGGCAACCCATGAGGACATGTGGCACACCATTTTTATGGCGCCAATCCAATATTATAAATACCTTTTTTACAAAAATATAAATAAAAGGGGTAGTTTTTGCAGGGCGGCTCAAGCACAGTCCTAGACACAACACTGATTTTTATATGCGTTTTTTGTACAGTAACTCCTGACCTACTTTCAGTTTTGTTGATATGTTAAGTCCAGGATGGACGAAATACTCTAGAAATTTAGTTAAAAATTGTAA